GACCTTGAGATCTAGCTCTCAGTGGCTGACCAGGAATGGGAAGCAGGACTAACACTTTCTCACCATGAATGAAATTTCTCTCTTTTGACTTTCTGTCATAATTTTGTTCAACATCCTCAACCTGCGCACTAATAAACTGCTCTCTGAAATGAATGTGATCCCCACCTGACAAACTATCAGACTTATCAAGAACACCTAAAGAGTTACTACTCTTTGAAGATAAGTCATCAGCCTCTACCTCATGAAAAGGACTCGGAGTCAGTATAATGTGTCTCAGTGGGGTATTCATGCTTCACTGCGGCATGGTATCTCAGTGGTCTAGCACTATAAAACCAGCTTCAGTCTGGGCTAGTACAAGCAGCCGCACATGCACATACACATGCATGCACGTCGTCATATGAGCGAAATATTCTAAAGCACGACGATAAACCCAATTTCACCTCACCTCACCTAATGAAAGAATGATCCATGAAAGTATCTGACAAATCATAAATGGAAACATTCGTCAAAGAAGTCTTGGAAGAAAAGCCTTTCGACATTGAACGAGTGACTGCTCAAGAAGGAAAAATAGCCAACTTTTCTGTACTAATTCAACTCTCCGGAGAAACAGTGACAATGGGATCAGCACCAACTTTGGCCCCCATAAGATCATTACTGATCAACCATCGACACCCGGAACTGGGAGAGAGTCAAGAGCACCAACTTTCACCTCGCCAGAAATCAGATCTGAAGTCAAATTCACAAAATGGAGAGGAGCGGAAGAATTGCCACCTATACCGTGAAGCAAAACATCTGTGTTCGCTGAAGACTCATCAGAAAAAGGCAAAATATCCTTCAAAATCAGAGATTGAAGAGCTCCAGTATCCCTCAAGATAATAACGGGCCTTGGGGTAGAATTATCTCCCATAAGCGACACAGAACCCTTAGAAACAAAGGGCAAAAACTCCTTCCAAACTACAGAATCTGGGGACTTATTCTCACAAAAAAAACTCTCCTCAGAACCACCTGGAAAGAACGGCTTAGGTGCGACAGACACAAAAGCATTTGGGGAACCTGCAGCCTAATTTTGATACTGGAGTTTGTAACATGCAGAAATCAAATGACCTGGCTTCTTACAATATGCACAAACAGGGTGCCGTTCCACTAACCGATCTTATCTTAGATCAATCTTAGCAAGTTACGCCAATTTTACAATCGCCTGAGCTAAAAGTTACACCCGTTCCACTAACCGATCTTGGGCCGATTGTAGCCGGTCCCGATCTTACTATCCGATCCAAGCTTAGATGAGACTTTTTCGTGCGAGAGATAGAGGAATGCGAGGCACGAGTTTTTTCCCTTTGCATAGTCTAGCAAATGATGGAAGTAGTTTACGAACCAACTGAGTGAGTGAGTTTAGATTTACGCCGCACTCAGCAATAGTCAAGCTATATCGCGGTGGTCTGTAAATAATCTAGCTAATTAAGATGCATAGCGTTCACTAACATGAGCGCTCATGTTAGTGAACGCTATGTATCTTAGCTATATATAATCGAGTCTGGACCAGACAATCCAGTGATCAACAGCATGAGGATTGATCTGCGCAGTTGGGAACCGATGACATGTGTCAACCAAGTCAGCGAACCTGACCATCCGATCCCGTTAGTGGCCTCTTACGACAAGCATGAGTTATTGAAGTTCAATATTCTAATCCGGGCCTTCATGGGTATTTTTCCAACCAAGTGTAAACGTGGAGAAAAAACCTAGAGCAAAATAATAGGGTAGTCAGCACCTTGGTTTCAGGTGCAAGTGTTTGTGAACGCTGGGTATCTGGCATAATATAATAATAATAAATGCATATTTATAGTGCGCCTATTCCACATCCTGGGGCATGCTCAAAGCGATATGTACAGATAATTTACACGAGAGTATTTACAGCCGAGATTATAAATAATATACTGAGAACATGTTTTAAGTCTGGACTTAAAAATGTCAATTGTGTCAGAGCTTTTATTATGTGCCTGAAACTTGTCAGTCAGAATAAACAAGGCATGACGAGGCATCCTCTATAACGTATCTAGAATCTGTCAGTGGTCTTGAATAACACGCGGCCTGCCTTTAGAATCCCCCACCAAATAAGCGCATGTGAAATCAAACATATTTGTATCTTTTTGATTCAGAACATTGTTCACTTCACGGCTGTCCTTATTCTTAACCATGACGTTGCAATATTGTTGTACAAATGTGTTACACCGACTCGCTCGGTTGTGTTCCCATGACGACAGTGGTCAGACTGTCCTGACATTTGTAAGGCTTCAGTGCAGTGTTTGTTTACATCACAGAAATATACAAATTCATCTCATGGGGGATTTTAGGGGACGCTCACGGATAAATGCATGCTCTTATTTTTCACATAGAATAGGAAAGCCACCATTTTGGTTTCTCTAAGATTGATTTTAGCTATCCTAAGTTGGTCGTGAGCAACTTAGACTTTGAATCTTAACTTTACGATTGACTTGGGTAAGATTGGTTAGTGGAACGGTAAGCCGATCGTAACGTCGCGCTAAGATTGGGATTTTAGGGGTTTATGATTGGCGTAGGGCTAAGATCGGTTAGTGGAGCGGCACCCAGGATCAGAACCACTGGAAGTCTTAGGCTTAGACTGAAAAGAATGTGACTGTTTGTCAGAAGAATTTGAACCTGTTCTAACACCATTGTAAGCTGCATGTCCTGAAGTCTTACACTGGAAAATCCCTTTTGGCCAGATAGCTTTGTATTACCTGAAGACCTAAAAGAACTCTTGTGAGTCAAACAATAATCATCTGCCAACATCGCTGCCTCATGTAAGTCATCAACCTTATGTTCATCCAAATCAGTCTTGAGATCAGAATGAACATTCTGCTTGAAATCCTCCAACAAAACCATCAAAATCTGTGACTTCCTTAGACCCACACCACCAATAAAACCACCTTTTCTCTAGCAAACTCTACAAAAGTATCATTGTCCCGTTTATGAGCATTTCTGAATTTCTGACTTTAAGCTTCAGGCTCTGACTCATAAGCATCTAAAAGTGTCCTTTTGACAAGATCATAGTCTGAGCTATGCTGTATTGACAAGGCCGAATAAGCATCCTGAGCTTTACCCTTAAAGACTCCTTAGGCAACTTGTGGTTTTCAGCAACTTTTTCAAAATGTAGAAAGTATTTGTCTACTTCTTTCTCGTTAAAAGGGGGTACCATTCTTGCATGCCTTGCAATGTCAAAAGAGGAAGAATTTGATGGAGGAGAAGAATTTTCTAGCCTTTTCAGTTCAATTCCTGTCAATTTCCAATTTTCTCAATTCTCTTTCTCTTCTATTTCTTTCTCCATTGCAAACTTTTTAAATTCCATTTCTTCTGTTTCTCTTCTATAGTCTATTTCTTCTGTCTGAATTTGCAATTGAATTTCAAGTTTCTTCATCTCCAAATTTTCTGAATTTTCTTCTTTCACCATTTCTAAAACCCCATGCCCCAAAACTTCCTCATCAATAAAGTGATTCAACACAATTTTCAAAATCTGAAATTTCCTCATAAAAGGGTTTGGCCTCAAGTTTGAAATGTGAAGATATTTGCAATAAATCTGATTTGCGCAATTCACTGACTGTCTCAGGGTCAGGGGAATTAAGAAACTTCTCAATGTCAAGCACCATTTTGCTGGTTTCACAATTAACTTGTTGCAAACTTGCAGAAATTTGAAATATACTTCAGAAAAAGGTCTCAAATGTCAAATGAATTCTATCCCGGACGAGCCCCCAATTTTGTTACGGTTAATAATTTGCCGTGACAAAAGGTTTGAGAGTCTCCTTTAAACCAGCAAAATAGAATACAGACAAGTCTAAAATATTCTGTAATGTATTGAGCAAACAATGAGCAAACTACAATGAATGACAATACAGATATCTAGTACATTGCAATTGAGTCACAAATCAAAGTAATGGGTCACAAATATGAAATATACACTCTCTTGGCATTTACGATGAGAGCAGATATTCTGATTGAAAGTAGTTTACAATGAGAGCAGTCAGGCTTGCACTGTCTTGAATGTAGGTTAGATGATGGCAGACAGATGTACACAACTCCAGAGATATGAAAAGTCTGTGTGTGATTCCGTGTGTGAGTGCCAACACAATAACCAGCATTTATATATACTGACACGGTGTCTAGAACATTCCCCTAAAGCCAGGTGGCATCATTATCCTTTCAGAACACTCATTATATCGCTGGGACTCCGACAGCCGGCAGTCAACAAGTTAACAAACCAGCCAAGGGAGGCAGCTCTGGAGCGCTATCATAAAGGCGTACCGCTAAAAATACTATTGCTATTGAACATATATGATGTGAAATGTGACCCACAACCCACACTCAAAACTCTAAACATTGTGACCCATAATAACTATCACTTAATCAATGATAATACAAATTACAAAAAACACACTCTCCTAACACTACTACTTTATATTGTACTATAGGCCCGTGGTCTTTGAGTATTGAATAAAGATTGATACAGGTCTGGCTTCTTGGCCTGATTGAGGCTACTTGGTGTCGCTACCCGTGAAGGTCCGGGTTAGAATATTGGCCTTCAGTAACCCATGCTAGTCGTAAGAGGCGACTAACGGGATCGGGTGGTCAGGCTGACTGACTTGGTTTACACATGTCATCGGTTCCCAATTGCGCAGATCGATGCTCCTGCTGTTGATAACCGGGTTGTCTGGTCCAGACTCGAGTATTTAAAGACCGCCACCATATAGCTTGAATATTGCTCAGTGTGACCTACAACTAAACTCACTCATTCACTTGATGTCGCTGAAAATCCATATTTGAGTTCCTGCAGCATTGTTGGAGGATTCCTGTAATGTCACAAATGTAGCTCCATTTCATCATCCATGTGTCCATTGGGTGACAATGCTGTGGTCAACATCTCCCGGCACACGGCGGATCCCAATAGCATATCCCAGATCGCGAGAAATGAATATTTATAGAATAACGTAAGGGTATATAAAGTCTTCTCTAAAGGCGTGTTCATTCGCAGCTCAGCCTCTGAGGAGTCAACTTGAATAGCAGTTATATTCAGATAACTAAGGTAAGTTTTCCTACTCATTTGCAAACTTACTACCAAGACCAAAGGGAATGGACTAGGGTCCCATCAGTACAATCACACTTAATGTTTGGAGTATATTTCCAAAATTCTGACAAAATATCTTAAGCAGATACAGCTTGTTCAGCTTGACCTGATAAAGTGAATATTAATGCATTGCGTGACCGTGTCACAACTGGTTGGGTCTATTATTGTGAAGGGGTGCCCCTTTGCCAGTTGATTGTCAACATGTCCGAACAGCAGAGACAAGGTCGCTGAAATCGTCAGCAATGTCCTAACTCTCTTTAAACAATAAGCTACAGATGGTTTAATGTTTCTAATTCGGGCTTTTATGCCTCGAGCTGCAACAACAACTGATGTTTCCACTGATAATTGAGCCGAAAGTAACTGACGAGTGACGTCTGTACCTTGTAAAGTTAGTAAACCAAAATAGATAGCATATGACTGTATAAACAATTCAATTAAAACATGAAATGCTTGTTTCTTTCAGAAGTGTTGTTTTCTGTAACGAATAAATGTGTCCATGCTTCGCACGAACGCAACATTACTAAAATTCTCTACTCCCCTATTTAATAAAGTTAACTCGACCTGCCGTTTGTGCCATTTGACTTCCCGGGTCATGCATATGTAGAGTAGCTAAGGTCAAGCTGAACAAGCTGTAGGATCATGTTGTCGGGATATTTCTTTGCATCAACGGGAGGTCGGCAGACGACAAAAGCCCCTGCAGCAGACAGCAAGGGAAGTTGCAAATCCACATACCACTGTACATCATTCATTCCCATGCTTGAAACATATCTATACCGAAAGGTCACTGTGCAATACGGACGTTGATCATACCTGAGATATAATTGATCATGTGAATTCCCTAATTTGATTTGCATCAAGTTGTACACGCCATTGACAATACATGCATTACCTGGCTTTGACAATAAGTATGTCTGTAAATAATAGGATCTTGACCAGATAATCCAGTGATCAGCAATATGAGCATCGATCTACACAAATGGGATACAATGATATGTGTCAACGAAGTCTGTGACTATATTACAAAGTGGAAGGAGAGTATTGAAAGGTTTTAAACTTCTGCTCCGGAAAAGGGAACTACTACCAATCTCAGCCAAAGTCAAACTTGTTGCCTTGTAAACGCAAAATATGCGTCATTCAGAAATACAAAACTACTAAAAGGACTATTGGTATTTAGTTAATGTATGGTATTTGTTGTTTGTCTTTGGATGTTTTGGGTTTCTGAATAAAATATTTTTTAGCATTTCCATGGCAACAAGTTTGACTTTGACTGACATTGGTGGTAGTGCTCTTTTCCGGAGCAGATCTTTAAAACCGTTGAATATTTCTTCACCAAACTTGGCACAAAGTATGGTTAATGCTTCAAATAAGGTGTCTGTGCAATGCAGTCATGCAATCTTGTAGAAAACCCTTTATAAGGCGAGAAAACAAAAGCAAAGTGTAATGAGCAGAGCTATGTATAGCGTGCTGCCCTGAATAGACAGACAGTACCTGTCAGCCCAGTTTGAATTGAGCATGCTTGACAACTCACGAGACCCCGTCGTTTCAAACAGCTTGCTAGAGCGTGCATCCTGTTTTGATGAATACAGGGTGTGTGTTGAAAGTACAGTGTACATCATCCCACAATAGAGACGGGTGGTGTCAACAATATACACCCCGGGTAATGTAGGAAAAATGTACGTCTGATTCGGGGCACACCACCACCACCCCTTTGTGCTGAAAGTTTGTTAAATGACCATTGAAACTCGGGTGAAAATGAAATGTGCATCCATCCTGTTCTCAATAGTGCGACACTCTTCTTTCTCAGAAGGCTGTATCCGCCCAAATATGGTCTACAAGTTGTACACCATGAAAGTTAGACAAGCTGTTTGGATAGTGAATGAGTTTAGTTTTACGCCGCACTCAGCAATATTCCAGCTATATGGCGGCGGTCTGTAAATAATCGATTCTGGACCAGATAATCCAGTGATCAACAGCATGAGCATCGATCTGCGCAATTGGGAACCGATGACATGTGTAAACCAAGTCAGCGAGCCTGACCACCCGATCCCGTTAGTCGCCTCTTACGACAAGCATAGTCGCCTTTTATGGCAAGCATGGGTTGCTGAAGACCTATTCTAACCCGGATCTTCACGGGTCTGTATGGAGAGAGATAGAAGAAATAGATAAAACATGTAGAGGCAAGCAACGTATTTCATGTTTACGATCTTCATCCTTAATCGCACAGATAACATATTTTAAAGGCGAGGAAAATGTTTCATTGGAAAAAAATATGTCGAAGCAGGTTTATTCATAGCTAGTGTGCAGCAGAGAGACTAAGCGACTGACCGGCCGTAACAATGTCAACATACCGGCCTAACAATGTCAACATACAGGCCTCGCCTACCGGTGAAGCTTCCCATTCATAAATTGTGTCACCAGTGTACCGTATTTATTATAGGTTAGGGAAGATGTGCTGTACATTTGTTATTTTTAAAGGGAGTTATTTCAGAGAGGTCATGGATATTCCCCTCATTAAACCTTTGTTTTGTTGTTGTTGTTGTGTGTGTATATATTAAATGTAACCGTTATTTAATACATCTGAATAAATTGCGGTAATATATGTGCGTGTAGACTTTATACATATATCTGAACATGAATGTATGACACCTTTCAATAGATCAATTACGGTTCTAACAGCTACATGAAACATTACTATGAGTGTGGTTAGCATTTCGTATGTATACATACATCGTTGTAACAGATTTCTGATGAATGAACTCGCCCGCACACATGTCTAGGGTCAACATAGCTCTGGGTATTTTCAGACCATCGAACTATAAACAGTTACAGATTGATAACAGATTGATAACAGGAGGGGTAGCGTTTGTGTAGAATGAGTGCACTCATCCTTCTAAGGGTAAATCCATGTAAAATATGCGTTTAAACTCACAATTTAAATGATTACATTACTTTTAGATGTATTGGTATGGATAGGAGGTTCATCGATTTGTAAAGCTTGAGCCCATGTCTGTCTAGGAACTATACATATTATGATAGAGTGAGTTTAGCTTTACGCCACACTCGGCAATATTCCAGCTATAGGAAGGCGATCTGTAAATAAATGAGCCTGGACCAGACAATCCAGTGATAGTCAGCATGAGCAGCGATCTGTGCAATTGGGAACCGATGGCATGTGTCAACCAAATCAGCCAGACTGACCAACCGATCCCGATGATGAGGAATATTCCATTTATACTTTGATTAAAGTATAGAAAGTCAACACTGAAGAAGCAAGTACGTGACTTCTTCACTATTTCACTGTATTTTTGATTTTGCAAAAGGTTATCGCACATTTACTGAAAAGTATAATTTTGATGACTCAGTACTTAAGAAAAAGAACAATAATAGGATTTAGTACTTGAAAATCTGTTAGCTTTTAAGTTATTTGTGTGCAATCTAGGCTCCCCAAAAGCGTGAATGTATGCAGCATGCACAGTGGGTCTATACTTAGCATATTTCTTTAAAACATCCTGTTTTTAGGAAGGTAGGTGCTAGTTCAACACGTTGACATTTGCAAATCCCTCTGTTATTTTTGTCTAGTAATAAAACTATCAGTTCTCTTAAATACTTAACAATAATAATAATAATATGCGGACCTTGCCTTTGAAATGTCTCACTTGCATCCCAAGTACACTGTCATCAGGCTCCCCATTGTTCTCGGTGCCCTTGGTTTGGTACCTCCTGATCTCTTGGCGCAGATCAGGAGAGTGCCCGGGTTCTCCACCGGGAGCACAGCCCTTCTGACACTCTGGGTAATGCAGAAGGCTGCAGTGTTGGGGAGTCTACATATTCTCCGGAAAGTTCTTGGTGGGTTCGACTAGGCAGTGTTTCCTGGGAGAAGTCCCATTCGTTGTCTGGGCTGCGTGTAGGGGGGGCGAGGGCCCTGAGCTGATGATGAGCCTTACCAGCCTGACTGCATTTTCATCTTTAATCTGTACAATAAAATAATTTCTTGTGGAATATTCAATAAATAGTTGATTTCTTTGGGTAAATGTACCAAATTGTTTCCTGTCAAAATGTGAAAAATATTATTATTTTTTTTATCAATTTCAAAGTTTAATGAAAAAATCAAAACTTTACGATCTTTTCATATCTTGATGTTACATGTGATAATTGTATTTAGCAAAGTAATAGCAATTACAACAAAGTAAGAGCTATTATCTATACTAAGTACCGGTAGTCACCTACTCGCAACCAACACCTAACGAGCTAACCTCAGTTACAGGGGAGTGAGTACAGCTAACAGAACAGCCAGGCGAGGGACTAGAGGCACTAATTAGTGGCTTGTAACAAAAGGGGGCTAGGGGGACGGGGGCTAGAGGAATGATGCCATTACAACATCAAACATTTGCTTGAAGTTGTAAATGTCCCTAAAAATCATCTATTTTGAATAATTTTCACATAGGCCCATGGTACATACATGAAAGACCACAGAGTTTCGATATTTGCTTGCACGTAGTACAGACATTGGAGCACGTTTCATAATTTCAACATTAGTAAACATACATCATAGACCACAGAGTTTCGATATTTGCTTGCACATAGTACAAACATGATAATATCATGGTAGTAGTATAATGGTAGCCGGAAGATTTTACAATTTGCATGATATATTTACAGAATTTACTGAGATTTTCCATAACAGATACCTTTTCACATGTAAAGAGTTATTTAGATTTTAACATATTTAGAGAATATGTTTGACCTTTTTTAATTTTCCACCTCTGAGCCCCAGATTTGAATGAGCTGTATTGTTGATTCAGGAAGATGAAATAGGAGACTGAAAGCAATACATTACTTAAACCAATCTTATTAAAATATTCTTTGTACATGAAATCCAGCTACAGCTGTGAATCTTGATTATGAAGATTATATACAATAGAATTGAAGATTGAAAAAAACCCTGATTGAATTGTTTG